TGTGCATTTAAAATAAATAGTACATACTATATTCATGTATGAAAAATTAATAGATTTTTGTAGAAAAATTAATAGATTTAAATTTCATAATCAAATAAATTACAATATATTATGGTCAAACAAAAATGTTTAAAGTTTGAGCAAAAATTTAATAAAATACTAAAATTATTAATATTTTTATAAAATAAAACTCTATAAAAATAACTATATATTACAATAGTTTGCGATATGATTGATAAGAACAACTTAATTATTATAAATAATTTATCCACAATTTAAAATAATTTACTCTTAGTAAAAATATAATAAAGAAGCATAATTAAATTTTTAAAAATAAGAACAAATATTACTCACTTTAGAATTCTTTGCAACTTCAAAATCTCTTGGCATGGCGGCAAGCCATTTCTTACGTATTGGGAAATCCAAAATTTAATGCTTTTGTACCATCAACTTTGTAAAATCCTCTGCAGTTTGGTACACAGCACTCATTGGCAATTATCCATAACACTAAGAATTAAATTAATGCTGACATTTACAACATTTGTTGAATAAATATAAATTTTACGAAGAACGTTGACACCAGAACACACACGGTTGTTTACAAATTCAAATCAAAAATATTCGCCAATTGGCTGAATGCCGACACAGGTTATAATACTTGAGAATATCGCCAATGGCTCGTTTGATCAGATTCGGAGTTTTTCGTAAAAATAGCTACCCTGACTGGTTTCCCTCTGGGCCTAACTCTACTACGTCATCATCGCCTATAGTAACCCGTCGTGAGGCTTGATTCCTTTCTAGGAGGTATTGGTTCAGTTCACACTCAAGTTACAAACATCCGTTAGAAACATTGTAAATTGTTTGACATTCATTCATATATATATGACTAGATGTTAGTGACTTTCAATCATTTAAGAAGTTATTATGAAACAACTACACTAAGGCAGATTTAAAAACAAATAAAAATTGAGACACTAATTCTACATTGATTACATTCTAATATTTATGTACATTAGGATTTTAACAAAACAAAATTACTCGAATCAGTCAAGCTTAGAAATCACTGATTTTGATCAAAAATGTCAGTGCAAACTTAAACAATTTAATAAAACAAGCATTGCAGTCTAATTAAGTAAAAAGAGATTTAAAAATTAAAAAGTTATAGAAGGACTTAGCTGAAAAACATGTTAAGTAGAGCTGGGCGATTTTTAGTGAAACATCATTAAAGTACCAACAAGGATAAATATGAGGTACATTATCGTTAATGAAGAATTGATGAAATAGTGAAAATATTTTTCAATTTGAGAACGACTGTTCTTTTATGCTTGTAAAAAAAGCAGTGACCTTCTTTTTTTTTCATTTATCCCCAGAGAAACGATACATTGGATGTAGAAACAAATGTTTAAATTTATTATTAGAACAAATATCAAAATTTAAGTATTTTTTAATGAATTATGAAATTCATTATACAAACTATTTATCTAGCAGGGATCAGTTTGGTAGAAAAGTAAAAAGCTAAAAATTGAATAATGCGCAAAATACTTTAAATAATTGAAAAATTCATGATTTTGAGAACCAGAAATTTGAGCAAGAGAAAAACTTATGTCGGAGGCATATATTCATACATTATTTAAGCTATGATAAAAATATCGATATTGTTTTGTTAAATTGCATAAATATGAATCTTGATGTGTGATTTTAAATCAGGAGTCGGAAAAGTAGAAGTTTTTTTGAAGAGGCAAAATTCTTTTTATTAAATTGAAAACTCTCTGATTTAACAAGTTTTATTTAAAAACAAGCAAATATCTGGGATTAAATTTAATTTTTGTCCTAGATTTAACAATTAATTGCACAAAAAGAGCAAAATGAAATCAATTTAATACCATTAAAACATTTTAAGAGTGACTCTTGGTTTAAAAATGGAAGAAAAAACATATTAAGATTTAAAACAAAATTCTCTAAATGGAATAATTTAATAACCAACCAATATTTTGAAGATAATCATTATTTTTCAACTGATAATTGGGATAATATTTTTTAAAATAAATTTTCTTCAGTGGAATTCAAATAACAGAAAATAATTTTTAAGTATTGTAATGTTCTCCTTACCATTTACAATACTTTAACTGGCTGAAAAGATTTTTGGCTGAAATTTTTTTATAACTTTTATTGTAACATCCAAACGTTGAATAAAGATCCATATCAGCAGTACAATTGTATAATTAGAATTAATCAACTTTCAATTTAGACAGCTGGAGAGTATTTAAAACTGGCCTTCAAACAACTCAAAATGAAGGTATCCATAATGATATGGCATCACTCACGAGTTCTACTCAATAACATAGATTAAAGCAAAAATAATGTAAATTAGTTGATTCGAAAAAAAACTACCATGAATGAATTATAGATCCTGACAGTATTAAGCAATATTTTCTGACATCGCCCAGCTAGCACTAACCTAAAGAAAGACACCAACAAAATCACAATCTATTGAAAATTTCATTTTTTAATTTTAAATTAGTTTCAGTGGTTGTTATTAGAATTTTTTTTTTTCTTTGTTATTACTCTCTAAAGTAGAAAATACTCAATAAAACTGTTATAATATTTGTTGATTCAGTACAGTAAAATATACAGCTAATTTTTGGAGTTTAGAAAATAAATTTAAAAAAAAAAGAAAGAATATCTTGCAATACTACTTATTTTTGACATAAAAATTCATATATAATTTATTTTGTAGCCTAGCATTAAAATACATCCATGATATATAAAGTTTACAATAAAAAGTAAGAGAAACAAATAATATTGTCAAAACAAAGATTAAATAAATGAATGCAAAGATTTATCAAGGAAAATTAATGTAAAAAAAAATGTGCATTAAACAAAATCTCACTTCGTAACAGTAAGGAAAAACTTTCGGAATTCCAACAAATCTTGAGCAATAGTTTTTAAAATAAACGACAATGTATGAGCATGAGGCAAAAAAACATGGAATCAAAGCATGATGAGATATATACATTTGCAAATGATCTATAAAAAATGTCTATAAAGCTATTAAAACAAAAAATACTTTGTATATGTAATAAAATAAACCTTTTTCTTTAAAAAAAAATATATGCATACATACATAAAGAAAAGAAAAAAAAAGAATTTAAAATAAACCTAGATTTCAAAATCTCTTTTTAAAAATCTAATTTATTGCATTTCAAATTTATTGATCTTTTCATAAAATACAGCAAAAAAGGTAAAATATTTGAAAATGATATGTTTTCTAAATGTAAGTAACTTATAAATACAGAAGTCTAGAAAATATCACTTGATAATTTCAAGTACGTAAAAAGGACAACAAATTTATATTTTGTTCATACATGTCAAAAGTCAACATATTAAACACATTATAATAAATATGAAATACAATTATTTTTTTTTAGTTGAAATTTAAATTCGAGTAACTTAGATAGATCTCTATTTTTGCTTGGTGATCGTAGTTTTTACTACCATTGAACATTAAAAATATTAGATCGGGAAAAAAATATTTTATATTATTTCAGTTGAGACATTAGATAGTTTTAAATTTAATACAGCAAAAGCAACAAAAGGAAATATAACTTTTATAAAAAATAAATGCCTAGAATAAAATGCATACTAATTTTTCAAAAATCTTAAGTTCATGTCAACTAGTTTAATCATGCTAACATAATGAGAGATACTTGTAACTAACTGAGATTCTCATTTATATAAATAAGGCAGACAATGAATTAGATATAGTAATAATATTTTTAAATTTAATAGCATTATTTTTAAATTTATGCACAGCAATAATATAATAAATTATAAAAAATATTTTAAAATGTTATAAATAATTTTAGGCATAGCTTCTTAAATTAAATTTATTGCATAATATTTAAATATCAGGCATGCCACAAGATATTGATTTTTACTAACATATTTATTTCATAACATATAAAATTGGGAACTTGGCACATTTTCAAACACAATGTTATAGAAACAAATTCACAGTATGATATTAGCATCAGAAAGCTTCACGTTGGTTATTATAAGCTTAGCCACACAACAATTTTTTTTCACACATGTGCATTATGCTCTTGTCAAAACACTCAATATCAGATTTAAAAGTTTTCAGACTTTCCAAAATATGCAATAATTGTGAACACAACAGAATAAAAAAATTACAACTTTAAAAAAATAATTCTTAACTTCTTAACTATGCTCTTCGCCAGTCATAAAGCAATTAAATGAAATTTAATGCAATATATTTTACACAAAGTAAAAATAAAAATCTTGACAAAACATGAAGTTTTAAGTAAAAAATCTATTTAAATACATATAATACAAACAAATTTTATACATATCACATTTTTCTGAAAACTTTACAAAAACAATGCTATGATACTTCATCTTTCTTTCAGATATACCTTTAAAGATTATATCAAATCTCATCCAACAATCAGATCATCTACCATGGAATGCTTCAGGTTTAGACATACCTGCCATTTAGATTTGGATCCCATCCAATTTACTAGGACTTCAAGCATGGAAAGCTTTGGGCGGTTTAGAGCCAACAGGCCTAGTTCGTTTACGACCTTCAGGATGCACCGAGTTTGAACAGGGTAAAACAATATGATTCGGTACTGAGAAGTGGCTGTACTTCCTTTTTAATCCGAAAGGTATACCGGGTATCTTGAACGATTCGTCGGACTCTTCGACGCAAAATACTGCAGTAGCTGAAATTCCAGCTTTGGGCGAAAGTTCCTTCCATGTTTTGGCAGCAGAGTTGCAGTTGCGTAGCATCCACAAATCACGATCTTCAGAAAGTCTTCGTTGAAGATTGGTCATTCTTTGTGCGGACTTCAGTTCGTCTTCTGAACAACAACGTGTTAAGGGATCGTGCGAGGAATTTTTAAACTTCTCGTTATCTTGCATACTGCAGCTCCTTCGGAATGAAACGATTCCATCTCTGATTTGGCAACCATTCCGGGACGCAAATGCCCAGACCTCTCCATTTATAAGAGGATCACTTCTACCAATGTTTTCAACGGTATCCTGAGAATCGGAGACATTGTGGTTGTTCTCGCAGCTATCTATAGCACTTTGGGGGATAATGCAAACCTCATGTACTCTGTTATCGTCATCAATAATAATGTTATTGTTGTCTTCTTCAGCATCTTCAAGCTGATCTTTGGAAAGGAATAGATTACTCAAGCTGCCGCTATCTTCTCGATTATACATACTTAAACTCGTAGACGGCTCAACTTGCACAGTAACAGATGCTACAGTTTCTTCTTCACTTTCATCCAAGGTGTGAAGAGATTGTTCTGACACTGACCTGTGCTTCCAACTTACAATGGCAGAGCCAGAAGAAATTTCAGATTCTAGAATTGGAGACAAAAGAGGGGCTGGTGATGGACTTCTGTGATGCCTTCTTGATACACCTTAAAATTAAATGACATGTTATATTTAATTGTTATGATAAAAAAAACAAGGATTATTTTAAATATTTATGCATTATTCAGAATTGAGCAAGAAAAAAGTACAAATCACAAGGAGAGATCCTTAAGTATTACTCATCAATTTTATAACATACTTTTTAGCGATAAATATTTTTTAAAGATGAGTATAGTATAATTAAATGTGAAAAAATAGGTCTAGTAAGATAATAAAAACTTATAATAAATGCTGATAATAAATATTTTCCTATCAAAAATAGATATTATATTAAAGATACTTTAGCAAAGTTCATATTAAAAAAAGAAGAAATTTATTCCCTGATAGGTTTCCCAGATAAATTTACAAAAAATTACAGGTTTAAAAAAATTAATTACTATATTTAATAGAAAAGAAATAATCATAATGTAATAAAAACAGTTTAAAAATAAAATGAAAAGTTAATTCAAAATGTACTAATGTCAATGATGTAAATTAGATGACTAAAAAAATTAGATAATAAATATAAAAATTTATCAGAATTTAAAACAAGTATAATAAAGGATATAAAAAAGTGATAATACAGTTTACACTTAAATTTTTTAAAGATAAATAAATAATGGAAAACTAAAATTGCAACGAGAGAAAAAAACACAGGAACAAAGAAATAACAGTTAAAGTTTTTTAACGCCAAATGTTTCTGTGTTCCATCTTACCTTAATACTTACTAACATTAAAAATGTGCTGTGAATTAAATAGAAAAGCAACACAGACATAAAATCACATTACATATATAAATTAGTGAACGGTCCCCAGTTATATATATATATATATATGCATACAAAACTTTGATTAAAAAAGTCCTTCAAATTTAATATTTTATTAAAATTAATAGTCAGATTCAATATTTCAATTATCAAATAATTAAAAAAAATTAATAATTTTGGAAAAACTAAACTTTTGAGTAACTAAACAAAAACCTCTACATCTCACATCTTTGTTAAAAATCATAAAAGTAAAGCGAAACATTTGCCAAGTTTAAGGAATCCTTGCAATGGCTATGAATCGTAACAGATTATAAGCATAGTCTTTGATATTGCTTTAAATTATAAGGTTTTTCTCTCTTTTTTTAATTCTTTGACTGTAAAATTTAAAAATGGTTTGACTGGGAAAATTAAAAATGACAATGCATAAAATTTAAAACAGTTGGTAGAGGCAATTTAGATTGATTTCAACTCATCCGCTTAGGTTTTACTGAATTTTTATATTGTGAAAAGGATTAAATGCAATATTTATTTTTAAACTATAGAAAATATGTGCTGATTATTTTTACATAGCAATCCACATTAAAATTATTACATAGGTACAATCTTACTATGGCTATAAGTTTGATTAGGTGATGAGGTGGAACTAGAATCATCTTTATCATTATCTGTTATTGTATCTTCTTCTTCGGTGTCCACTGGTGTTTGTTCTAGTTTTTGTAAGTTTCCCTAAAATATAATTAAATGTTATAAATAAAGAGTATTAGGCAAAACATAGATCATTTAATAAAAGTTAGTTACATAGAAACTTCAAATGTAGAAAAAATGTATAACTTGTTAAATGAATGGAGGAAAAAAAATCACTTTCATTTTTATGAGCTACTAATGCTACAATGAGTTAAGTTTGTATTTATAAGCAGTTTGTACCAAATCAGCATTACATTAAAATTCAGTACATAAATTATAGTACAAACTCTAGCTTCTGCAGGCATAGCTATCAAAGAGGGGGGCATTTGTTCACGGGTGCAACCTCCTTAAAAATGAATTCTAGAAAAAAATGCTTTTCTCTTCTAAATATTTCCAGTTTCAATTGATTATTGCGTTTTCAAATTCTTATACAATTTACCTAAAAATTGAACAGTATGTTTATTAATATAGTAGTTCACTAACAGGCAGTAAGTTATTTGATAAAATAACTTACTGCATTTAGTTAGTTATTTATTTTTAAACAAATTGGTGATGTATTGAATGAAAAATAGCTTTAGAAAAAACAATTGCCACTAACTAAACACAATCAAAAACATCTAAGTGTAATCGTAACTACATTAGTAACATACATTCTTAAATTTTAAACATAAACGAATGAAAATTTACGAATTTATCAAATTACTTTGTTTTAACCATTACGTAAGGTTTAAAAAACGATGACAGGTGCGGTCGATTTACCAAACTTAAAATGGCCTCAAAAAGCCCATTTTAAGACCTACACAAAATATAAGGAGCATTAAAACAGCATGGACGTCGTAAATCTTAGCTTTGTCTCTGGTTTCAACGCCAGAATGTTGATATGAACTTTAGAATAAGAACTTGCGGAAATCTTATCAAACATTTTAATTTAAAAAGAATTTAAGGTTGCTGTATGATATTATTTGAATTTAGATGCCTAGATCAATGAAAACTCCAAGGACTAATAAAAAAAAATACTTGAAAATAATTAGCTTCGGTAAAAAACAACTAAGTCAGGAAAATTTTATAACAAGGAATGTTGTAAATTTGTCAATTTGAAAGTGTTATAAAAATAGTTCATAATATGTCATTAAATTTCAAAAAATTTTAAACTAAATAAAGTGAAACATTTGTTAACTGACCTCTTTCTTTCCACTTTTGTTCTTTGGACTTGTAGATTTTTGGCGAATATTAATGGGCTCCAAATAATGCCGTCTACGATGTGGACTGCCTATGTATACATTTCCAACATATTTTTCTAAAGGGCATTCTCCTTCATCGTTAGTACCAGCACATTTATTTTCAGTAACCACAGGCATTGATGGCCTCTTACTATCCAAAACCCTGTAAACATAAGCATGAATTTCATTGATTAAGATTAAAAAATAGTCCAGAAATTACTAATGAGGTGTTTAGGAAAAAATGAATGGTTATAGAAATACAGTCATAACCTTGAAAATAGTGCTATATTAAAATCTCTTACAAAAGAAATTTTTTTCCTTTTTTTTGGAAACTTGATTAGAATTTCCTACAGAATTATCTTTAGACCTGCAGTTCCAGAATGGTGTTCCGCAGAACCATAAGGTTCCACGAAAGAGTGAAAGGGATTTAGCGAGTTAGCACTTTTTATAACCAGTTTTGAAACCTCTAATTATATTTGGGTCCAACCGATAATTCATAATTTATTTAATCATAAGGTTGCCTTTATGAAATTATTTAAGTAAAATGCCAATGAAATAGGAATTATATTTTTTAAAGGAAAATATTACATTTCTAATAATAATATAATGAAGAAATTAAGAAAAAAACAAGCATTTATTAAATACATCATTAGCATTTCCTATCTAGCTTTTCAAATCAAAATAGTTAAATTTTCTATTAAAGAAATGGGCTTTCATAATAACTATTTTTAACACTCATAACAGTTCTTTAAAGTTTACATTTTAAAATGAACCATAATTCACCTTATTTCAATCCTTTTCAGCTTATGTATATATGTCGCTTTGGTGAATGTCCGAAGTATTTGCTATATCCGATTTGATATTAATTCAGGCATCGATATTACTATATTTATTCGATATTTTAATATCTGCTGAGGATAGATTAGGAGAAACAACAGCATTCAGAGTACCACTTAAATGCATACCAGGCAGTGGTACTTAACTTTAAAAAAAATCAGCTTAGGGTAAACCGGGCAAATGTTCACCAGGCAGTGGTACTGAACCTTTAAAAAAACATTAATGTAGGGCATACTGGTCAGTGGCACATAACTAGACCTACTATATATTTTTGACATTTACCAAAGCTACTATGTGATTGTCAACATTCACCAGAAGTCAGCAACCACCAACTTCGGTCATTCCCAGTAACATATACATTAGAAACAAATTTGTTACTAGACTAGATATAACACATGGATAGCAAATTTTACTGTCGGACATAAATACTTATTTAAGAATATTAATGATAAAACGGTGAAAAATCTTCATTCCTCTAATTTATTTTAAATGTAGTCTTAATGGTTATAACGTTCACAATTACCTTAATCTTTAATTATAAGGTTGAGGTTCCATCGAATGAAGATTGTTTATTTAGAGTTATGTAGCTGAAAAAAATAGGGAATTTGCTGCTTTAGACATTCTTTGTCCATTTATGCAGTTAAATAAAAGATGAAACCTAAAAGATTCCCTTCATTTTAAATTGCAATAGTTGGGAATCATTAATTTGACTTACTTGTGCAAATGGGGGGATGGGAAATTAAACGAATAAAGAGACACATCTAACATGTTTTTATCTACTTAAACCTAAAAAATTTCAGATTCTGGGCAAAATAGAAAATAAAATGAATAAAATAAATGTATTCTAAGCTCTAAGCTTATGTAACTGAATTAAAATATCACATTTAATCAAAATAAACTAAAAATATTTTAAAAGTGCACTAACCTATTTTGAGCATTATGTTGTAATTCCCATTCTTCACCTTCATCTCCCTTTCCATTTTCTTGTGATTTTGGTGAAATTTGGTTCCCCTTTACAAACAAGTATAAAACAAATTAGATGTTTATAAAAAAAAACTAAAGGTGATCACACCCTTCAAATTTGGGGGCGAGCTGCATCTAAAAAATTTCAAGTGGCAAGCGAAGCTAACAATTTAGCTTTTGAAATGCATGATTACAAGATCTTAGAGAAATGTATATTAGAAAATTATTAATCTATAATCGTAATTACAGACAGACAAAAGCTGTAAGAATTGTGTGTTAAGTATATATAGTTTACTATATATTTTTATATTTACTATATATTCACACTATATATTTTTTTTATAGTTTCAGCTTGAATTCTTAAAATAGTTAAATTATATGATAATTGTTTAAAAAGTAAGGAGATGTCCACAACTAAGGCAACACTCCTTTTCGACACTTTTGACCACCATTGCTCACCTTTGTCACAAAATATCAATTCACTATACTTCTTTCTACTCCTTATTATATTACACAAAGATATACTTAAAGTTCAAAAACAAAACCCACGCTATATTTAAAAATTTCTTATATATTTTTTACTATGCATACAAATAACAATGATTCCATGTGTACTTGATTTGTTGGGAAAATGAAAATAAAATTTTTATTTTAACCAAGATGCACGTTATCACACTTCTTGTTACCCCTTCCTCCACCTTGCAAATCGCTTTCCTCTTTTCAAAGAGCGACCAAGCAAGATCATTAGAGAAAAAAGATTTACTTAAAAATGAGTAAAAACACTGACACATACTAACTAGAGAAACTAGGTTCTATAATTTTGGAGGGTCTGGATTCTCTTTGAGAATTGAACATTTTACCTGGCAATATTATTAATTGAATCCAAGTACCTGACAAAATTTATTACGGAGCCCAGTGTTATAACATTCATGAAAATCCTATAATTTTCTATATAACAAATAATTTACTAGATATAATTCTAAGGAAATTTATTAAACACCTAAAAAAATAAACATGCTTTTATTTTTAGATTTTTTCTTTAAACTTAATTTTAATAAAAGTTTCTTAAAAAAAATTTGGATAATTATTTGGATGCAAAATGATAAACCTAAAACTTTACTATGAAGTAGAAACATCTGTTAATAGTTGACTTTATAATTCAGTTTAATTTAATGTGTATTAAATCATTTAACTTAAATTTTTAATAACATTTGTTATTGCAGTCTCAGTTAAATATAGGATATTTTTAAAAATATTTTAATAAATGATAAATAATATTTTAATAAATGATATTAAATGAAAAATCTTTTAACTCTTGTGGTTTAATTTTTAGTCCTCCAATAACCAAGGCTAAACATATTTTACATGCAAAGATCTGCTTTAGAGCAAGCTTTCAAGCTTTAGGAATTGGTGGAAAATCTAATTTTATTACTAATGTTAAATAGAAGAATTATTCGTATAGTGCTTTTGTTGTCTTTAATGTTACCCTAAAAACACCTAAATTAATCAACAAGGGGCAAATTTGCAACCATGAAAAATTTTCTTGCAAAAAGTATGTGTATTTGCATAACACAGAAAATAAAACCACAAAAACTTCCCACGGTTAGCCTGAAGATAAAAATCCTTTAACCAGACTGGTTGGAAATTTAATTTATTAAGCTAGCGAGTAAGAAATATGTTTTCTACTACAAATTAGTTTAATGTTGAAAATAGCTAATTTTATTCATATATACTCCGTTTCAATATAAATGTAAAACTTATATTGGAAATGTAATAAAATTTCTCCAAATGAGTTTCTTAAATTATGTAAAAATAAAAGTTTTCGTTATTTTACAAATAAAAACTACTTTAAAAAATTCATCAATTTTTGTTAAAATAATTAGCACTGTTTCAACATATATTTTAAATTTCAATCAAATTAATCTTCAATGATATCTAGATTAATAATAGTAATTAATATTCCCTTTGTAACAATATTTCTCTTGATTATACTTCTATAAAATGCTAAAACTTCAACAACGAAAAAAAATTTATAAATAAATACGTATTACTTATTCTTACTTTCAGAAAGCAAATTTAGTAAGAGTAATACATGTACATTGTATTTCCCCACAATTGCCTTAGAATTTTACTCATGGTTTTATTAATTTTAAATAAAAATCGATGCGATTCTCAATTTCTAATTTTGTATTTTAGCTACGACATTAATTTCAGAAAATTAGTTTTCAGCAACAGATTTCAAATGTCAGCAAACACTTTCCTCTGTTCCAAAGATGTTCACTTTGCCAAGGTTTCCCTGAATTTAAACTCTGCAGAATAGTAGAATATGTCGTGCAAAAACCATTCTTATAAGGCAAAAAAAAAAAAAAAAAAAAAAAAAAAAAAAAAAAAAAAAAAAAAAAAAATTACACAGGGTGATTTTCCAAAGAATTAAAATGCAAAATATAAATTTTTCGCCCATGTAAACAGATAAGAAATTTATGCTAAAACAGTTTAAAGCTTATAATGTAACAATAATTTTTCAGAAATATAAAATACCTTTTTTTTAAGGTCATATGACGACATATAAAACCAACAAAACAGCTTTAATTATCTGAACTGAGTGACATATACTAACAGTTTGTTAAAACATAGGTACTTAACTCTATATAATTTAGATATGTACTACATAAATGATAGCAGAATAAGTTATTATAATGAAACATTTTAGAGTAAATAAGGTAAAATTGATGATCTAATAACCAAATAAAATATTGATTTAAAAATTTCTAAACAATACTCAAATATTAAAGAAAAAGAAAATACTGCAATAAATTATGTTAATCTTGCAAGCAATTATAACAATCCATAAAATTATACACAATACCTTTTTAGTTTTCATTTGAAAAATGTGAATCGGACATTTTGGTAATAAAATTGGCTTTGGTTTGTTCTTTTCAATCCTGTTAGCAGAAGATGCAGAAGGATCTCGTTTATGTACTATATAGTCGTAAGTAGAGAAATTTTGGCACACTAGGAAGGAAAAAAAAAATCAATTATAAATATTAAGTATTTTTAAATTAACATACATGTAAAATTACAAGTGCTCCATCAATCATGTTCTTGAATTATTTCAACAATTCTTTTGATTAACTTTTTTTTTATTCGAAAACTACTGTCAAAAACCCAAATTTTGGAGAATAAAATATTAAATAATTATAAAAAAAGAATGTCAAATTGCAATTTATCCAAACTCAATTTGTTAAATTAATTCCTTAATTTGTTTAATTATTGAAAATCAAAATACAAAAACAATTATCTTATGAAAAAACACTTAACAATCATCTCATTCTTTGCATGCTACTTTGTCTGAAAATTAGTAAAAAATAAGCAAAAAATGCCATAGATAAAAAACAATGTGAATATTATATTTATCCACTATATTGAAGAAAACAAAAACAAAAAAATCTCAGATAATATAAACACATTAATATTGAATAATAAATAAAGGAAAATATTACCAGAATGTTTTATACTTACTTAAAAAAATATGAAATCCTAACAGATGACCAAGAAGAGCAATAGCTAATAGTGACAAAGCAGCTGTGATAAAAATTAAGCAGATCCAAATGGTTCCTTGTATTTGAAAAGTTAAAAAAATTAAATTGTCTGAAAAGAGATATAATAAATTAAAAATTACGACTACTTTTTAAGCAGTCAGTGAAAGAACAGAAAAATGTGCTAGTGTTGACAACCAATAATATTTCATATTAACAATAGCAATATTTTAAAAAAATGTTACAATTAAACAAAAAAAATTTGTAAATACAATTTTTAACACAAATACTAACACACAAATGCAAGAAATTTCTGTAAACTAAACTTAAAATTAAGTATGCCATAACTAATTAAAAATTTCAGTCAATGTAAAGAAAAGAAGAAGAAAAACATTTTTCTTAATTATAATGAAAGCTTTTAGCTTCACTAAACTAAAATAAAAAAGGAAATATTAATTTTTATAACAATTATAGTTTCCCCTCAATTGAAATATTCAAATGTTTAGACTGTCATGTTTTATAGTAGGGGTGCACAAGCTTTTTCAGTGAAGGGCCACATGCACAGCAGATTGACCAATGAAGGGCCGCATGCCAAAGTGTTTAGACCGACATATTGAAAGCAATTGTTGGTGGTGATTGTTATATAAACATCATTGTTTATATAACACTAAATTCTTTTTGTCGGTTAACCTTGTAATCTCTTTGCAGAAAATACAATACTTTAAAACGTTTAAAATTAGAAAATGCAAAACTGATTACTTAAGAAGGAAAACAGAATTCGAAAATCAGAATCAATTTATCGGAAAAAATTTAGATAAATTGAAATAATTAAAAAACTATGGAAAAATTGAAATTTTTTTTA